TAGGGAAAACATACTGCACTGGGAAGTGAATCTGACACCACGGAAGGTTTGAATCCAGCTCCAAGGCTCATGGGCAATGATTTCTGCTCTACTCTTTACTTTGCAAAATGAATATAAATAAATCCCTACTTCTGCTTTTTATAAATAATATTTTTTTTTTTTTCAAGAGATAAGTCTGTCTTTCCACCCCTTAATACACAGAAAAGATGTGGAAGCATTTACCGGCCTTCTTTTTTTAAGAGTTGGAAACAGTCCAAAAGATTCACCTATAAAAGTGTCATTTGTTGTTGTGAATGAAAACGAGAAGTTCTTGCATGCACTGCCAGTCAGAGCTATTATGACCACTGGGTAGATTGTAAGGTTATAGCGGACATACTTGTCAAGAAAGAAGTTTTCTAGATAAAACCTGTGAAGAAACAGAGTGACCAAAGTAAGCATTTTCTCTGTACATCCTTTTTTTCCATAGAAAGTTTAAGAAAGGCATTGGACAAAGAATGATTTTTTTGCAGGTCAGTTTGGACCAAAGTCTAAGACTGTCAATTTACTGAAATTCAGAAAGTTAATAAAAAGTTATCTAAGGTAAGCTTAGGAAAAAAATAAAACTATGTTTCATATGCTTTCCATATCAGGTCCTCACCTGCAAACCTAGGGCAGGTTGGGCTCATGCAAGTTACAGCAACCTGTTCCCAGGCCACAGCATGTGCTTATTGGCATTGCTAAGGGTCAGGGAAGAAAAAACTCTGCCCAGGCTCGCGGTTCACCTGCCATGAATAATAACAGAGGTCTTTGTACTCGCTGTTGGTACAGGGACAGACTATGCATGAATTTGGACAGATGGCCCAACCCATTTGCGAGAGGTGGAAGGGGTTTTTCAGGCTTGGTGGGAACCCATGAGGTTGCTTACCATATTACTAGATCAAGAGCAAGGATGCTTAGACAAGCAGTCGTTGCTGTCTCATTGGACACATTCCACTTGTAGATCAACGCAACAGCAAAGTTCAGCAGAGTGGCAATGGTGGTCCATGTTGCATAGAGTGCCAGCCCATTCTGGACCTGTCACATAGCACAGCAAGACAACAAGCAGTGATAAAAACAGTAATTCCCCTTTGTCTTGTGACCCATAGGTCCTGGGGCAGTCAAGCCAGCCTTCCAGACCTAGCCGCAGGGGAAGTCCCTCATCATGGAGGAGAGTTGAAGCCTTGGAGTCCCCAAAGTACCCCAGAGATCCACCCCAGTGGCAGTTGTGGAATTCCCTGTACGGAGCCCTGTAACCCCAGTGGGGGCTTCCCACCTGCACCTCAAAGCAGACAGTCTGCCTGGCTGCCCAGCCCAACTGTTGCAGGCTGCTGTGGCTGGCAGAAACGCCAATTTTGTGAATCTCAACCACCGCCCAGCAAACACCTTTGCTACATGGAGCCTGCAGCAGGCAATATCAAGGGCTGCAGTCATTCCTGAGTGAGGATGGAGAGTCCAGCTACTCTCAGTTCCCTGCGTTCTACTGGTGTCTCAGGAACTGAAATAGAAGCGTGTAAAGAACAGAGCCCACTCCCAGTTTGTGCCAAGTGATTTAGAAACATTTCTAGCAGTCAGTAGGAAGTTTCCTAAGCAGACCCCCCCCCCTCCACTGGAGACCCTCCTAGCCCCTTTGATGTGCTTTTTCAGCTGACCCATTTTCTCGCTGAGAAACACCAACATCAAGCAGAGGAATCGAAGGTGATTAAAGCACACAGAGCAGCCATGGGAGGAACAGCAGTGTGAGGTGTCTTGGATAGGGAGGAAGGGCTTGGGGGTAGCAGGTTTGGGCTTGGACTGAGGCACAAGGAGGGAATCAAGGAGTGATGGAATATGAGTATGTTTATCTTATTTTCTCTGTGCCATTCACCAAACACACATTGATCTTCTCAGAGACAGCAGAAGAGTAATTTTCTTCCAGAATTTGGCACAAGTCAAAGGCAGCTGCATTTGAAACCTTGAGCAGTGTACACTTCCCCATATAAGAAATAGATATTTTTTGTAGTCAGATACCAGGGACATCACCATCAGCTACAGCATCAGAAGCCACCCTTAGCAATGGCTTCTCCCTCTGCAAGAATATTCTTCTCCCCACCCCAAACAAGTCTGGGATAAAGTTTTAATACATAACTGAAAACTTCATTTTGTAGTAGCTGGAGAATATGAGGTATATGATAGAATGGTTTGGGATGGAAAGGACCTTAAGAATCACCTAGTTTCAACCCCCCTGCCATGTACAGGGACACTTTCCTTGCTCCGAATCATTCCCATGATGTCTGATAGGACACTGAGGTGCAATTAAGCCTCTGTGTACCTGCAGCAGGCACAAGTTAAAGTCAGGGCAGAGATCTTCCCTTACCCATCTCCTGTCATTGAATCTTTCATTCCTGATACCTTCAGCACAAAGTGTTTTTTAGGGTTTTTTTTAGCATTTACCAACAGCACAGCTTCCTAAATTCCACCTACTAGGATGCGGATGAGCCAGAGATCAACTTTGTGACCCTTCACAAGCCACGAGGAATGGATGCTCAACGCTCGGTGTGAAATGAAGAGGGAGGCACATGTAGTAAGCGTGAGGGCTGCCAGGAACACCAGGGCTGGGAGGAGGTATCTAGGACAAAGAAAACATACACGCACACACACACAATGTACAACACATTTCTTCAGTGGTGTCACAATGCCTTAATTCATAGCTTTAGTATCTGGCCTTTAATGACTCTAAGTTAATCAGCCTGTAATAGAGGTAATCACTACACGTAGCCCTCATTTTAACATACTGCTGTTTTACTCTTAACCACAAAGTTATTTCCCTGACTGCAACAGATTTCTTCACCTCTTGACAGCAGTGCTATTCTAAGCCCTTTGTGTGACCATAATTATGAAAACAATCCAAGGCAAGGAGCTTAACTGTATTTATGATGGCATAGCTCTTGTCTTACCTGTGGAAGAAAAAGCAGAACAGCACCTTTGAGGAGATCTTGGACTTCAATAACCAACCCACCTCATGGGCAAGATGAAAACATCATAACCCCAAACTTTCATGAAGGCTACCTTTTGCCAAGGTCTGCCATAGTTTTACCAGTGTGATTAAGCACTCACACACACGGAAAAGTGGAAAATGAAGTACTGGGAAGTCCCAACAGAAGGCTTAGAAAGCATTTGTAGCAAAAGGCAACTTACTCTCGGTCCCACAGAAACAGCCAGCCAACATTGAGGCCATTATTCAAAATCCACACCACATAAAAAGGTATTGGCAGCAAGTCTGGCTTTATGTAGACACATCCAAGTTCATTCCTGACAGGAAAAAAACAGGTATGGAGAAAGGAAAACAATGCCTGCATTAACCAACTAAACTTTCCTGGCCTCATTTTCTTCATACTAACAAGGACTCTATGCCAAGTTAAACATTTTGGTTTAAATCAGATTATTTCTGCTCTGCATCCTCCTCTAACACAAGATACAGTCTCTGTGACTTTCCCTGTCAGAATAGAACTTCCTTCTGGTCTCTGCACTGCAACAGATTCAGCGGATACTAAGGACTGCTCCACAGACGCTGCAAAGCTTGTACCACTGGTGGTAGTAGCAATGGCATGGTCATGGGATTTTAGCCCAGTTCCCAGGAAAAGGCTTAGGGGATCATAGTGTCAGTGTATATATGTTTTGTGTGTATGTGCTCATACATGTATACTTCATTCTTCCCTCAACCTTCTGTGTTGGCCAGTATAAAATGAACTTCTTACAAGTCATGTGAAAACAGCAGACACATAAGACTCCAACCAAGCAGTCCATGGTCGCCCTTGACACAAGGGCTGCCGTATAAGTCTGTCCCACAGAAGACACCACAGACTATTACAGATATTGCATTGTACTGCATGAGGCAGTTCTTGATCCCCAGGAAAAGCTTCAAGTCCAGTTCAACAAGCCAAGAGACTTCCCAATGCCCATTCTCTGATCTTTAACAGCAAGTAAACTCAAAGCTTTAGCTCCATAATTCATTAATTTCACTCCCCATGGATTCTCAGCATCTAGCAGTGGGTAAGTGCAGCTACTGGGTAACTGTCAGATCACATGAATCAGTTTACGTGCTTTGTAACCTGTCCACACATTAGAGCAGTTCATATATGCCTCCAAACTGCTTCCTAGGTTTGGATGCTGAATCCAAGGGATGCTCCAGCAGCAGAGCTTCGGCATGTCAAGAGGAATGGCAGTGGGCTTACTCTGACTAGAAACCCCAGAAAAAGAGGTAAGACTGAGCTACAGAAGGGAAGAGCCGCTGTCCCTCATTTATACCACAAGCAGGGAAAATACCTTCGACAGATCCCTGACAAGGCATAGAGAAGCCAGGCAAGCTGCCAGGCATAGATGACATTCCAGATGAGGAAAGTCCAGCCAGCTGGTGTGAAGTCAGTGTTGTACTTCGCCGAGATGTTTCCAGGGGTTGTCCTGAACAGACCTGCAGTGGTGAATGTTATTGCAGGCAAGTGTTACTACATACTAAGGACATAAAAAACCTGATTTCCCTCACCCTGTAATCTTCCTCCAGGCTTAGTCCACGCCTTGGTGGATCTGAGGGAGGTGAGATGATTCCTTTGGAGAACACAAGCCACGTGCTGCAGTTGGCTTGCCTTTAGACACCCATTATGGGATCACTGTCCCTATGGGGAACCCTGAGCACCTTCCCTCTTGTACAGAGCCGGAAAAGCCAGTTACATGTGAACGCCAGAGAAGCACAATGTCCATTTCTGACAGGTTCAGCTGGGTAGTGCTCCAACCAAGCGCCACTGCCTTTATAAACCCACAGCGGCAGCCTGAACAGCTTCCATCAGGGATACAAGGGCTGTGCGTGCAAAGACTCACCCACAGCTAGATCCAGGTTCACCAAGGACAAGACCGTTTATTTGGATTTCAAGGGACTGGGTAGAGTTCAGGCACCTGGCTGGAGGATGTACCAGCTACTTCCATCTTTCACATATCAAAGTGTATTTGGAGAAGCAATGAGGCAACAAAAAGATCTATCCTGTCTAAGGCACCTTATAGCATTAAATGATATAATGCATGAAATCCAATTCTGAACAAAAGACAGTTTGCCTGCATTACCTTTGAATATCCCAGTGGCATTTCCAGCATTCAGTATCACCATGACCATGAAGGCAGCCAGAGACAGAAACATCACAAAAATCTTCAGCTTGTATATAGTGTCCATTTTACCCTACAACAAATTAGAAATATTGTTTGGCTATCCTAATGTATGCTTTGTTCCATGTCCCAGAGACCATTTTAAAAATAACATTGTAAATTCCCCAGCTTGCTGATTTTTTTTTTTTTAGTTCTTTTGAAGACACTACAAACAAGAGGACTTGCATGGGCTAAGAGCATCTTTCTTTGAACCAACATCCTCTTGATCGCAGTCAATGTCAGCAGCCCAGAGAGTAGCCCCAAAAAACAGAACAAGCAACAGATACTTCCGCAGAATACTCCTCCAGCAGCTCAAGGATTTCTAGTAGTAGCATCTTTAATAGTCTCTCATGGGTTTAAGACTGTAAACTCTCTAGATCCATGAAGTAATCTGATGTTCTGGGGAAAAAGCCTGTCTCATGATGTCCAAGATGGGCTGTTACACCTCCCTTTGCCAGCCCCTGGCATCGTAAAGGCTAAAGACCCCTGTACAAGTTTCAGATGGAGAGCAAACACTACAAACACCTGGGAAGGCTTCCTGACTTCTGGACAGCCCTGAAGCAAAGAGGCCTCTCTAGGTTATGGAACTGAAATGGGAAGACATGGAGTGCCCGGCAAGCAGCCTGCTCTGCCACCACCCATCCCTTGCTGGCACAGTGCAAGAGACACAACTCAATTTTGCCTGTGGATATGTTGCAAAAGTTTTCAGATCTAAATAATTAGTAAGCAAGTGTAAAAGAAGGATTGCAGCTTATCTTACATCACTATTGCATTTATACAGAAGAAAACAGGCCTATAATTTTGCCCTTTGTAGGGAGGAAATATGAACATTAAAATCTGGCTTTGCAGCCAAGTGCCTTTTAGTTCAATATAGCTTTTCACATGTACCTCTCTAATCCTGCAACACCTACAAAATAATAACTTCTTTTCATGGTGGTATTACCTCCTCATCTACTGGCTGCAAATAAGGTTTAAATGCCTTAGCAGGTCTCAAGAACTCTATAGACTAAGATTTACATGCTACTTTGTGTTTCAAGGTTTGTAAGTAGTCACTTGAGTCTTCCCAAGCAATCTCCATTAGTCTAGCATTTTTCTATCAAGGAAAACTTTTGTACCACCTGTGGATGCATGTATGCTTACTCTTACACTGTAGGCAACAGCTTTATTTCCCCTCACAGCTCAGCACTTGAGCTGCCTTCTCTATACAACCTCAGTTCCTTCCAGGGTTGGCAGGAATAACAACTGAGTTGTTCCAAGCTGCTCAATGTTAAACTAATACATTCCAGTTCCCACTTCAGTGGGTGGTTTTATACTTCCAGGCTTTGTTCATGGGACTGAGCTGCATCCAGATACACTACAAGGAAGTGGGAGGGGAAATTATGTTTTCTGTAAATCCATACAAGCTTTTCCCTTTTCAGTTCTATCTAAACTGAAAGCTGCACCCTTTTTTAAAAAAATGAAAGTCCTGTGTGGAAGAACTCATTTAACTCAAGACATCAAATCCCAAAACAATGTATTGTCTTCAACAGATACACTGAACTAGCAAATTCTGAAAAAAAAATCCACTTGTACTATTAAAGATATATTTTCTGACTCAGAAAATAACTGATCCACAGATTTCTGAAAGCCAGGAAGAGGTAAGAGAGGAAGTATCGCTGTATACTTCTCCTATTCTTATACATTTTCCTTGGACGTTGACTTTTGGCCACTCCAAATCAGTGCATGGAACCAGATCGTCCTTTGATCTCACTGTCAGGCCAAATCTATGTTCTCCTGACAGTCCTGTAATTTAATTCAGCACCACATTACTTTTTTATTAGCATATTTGGAAGAGACTTGATGACACAGCTTCAGAGAAACCTGCTTGCTTATGGAAGTCTAGGAAGAAAGCCTTATTATAAAACCGGTCAATAGTTTCACTGCTGTCCCTCACCTTCTGCCTCCCCCTAATTTATTGCTGGCAATACATATCTGCAATATTTCCCTGCCAGCAGTTATCAGCCACAAACATCCTTTAAAAGAATAAGAAATATTACTCACAAGGATCCGCACAGGCTTTTTGGCAGCGTCTTACAGCTATAGCTCAGCTACCACCAGCGCTGGGGAGTCTCTGCTGCTCAACCTTATCTAAAGAGATTTTATACAACTTTCAGCAGATTAATAATCATGCATTATTTAAAAAAAAAATCACGGTAGTTAGACATGCTCTCTGCCTGTAAGCTGCAGCCTCTGATTGGCTGGAGCCTCCCAAAAACAAGCACTTACGCAAGAGAAGCGTGATTACTTAACAAGGGCTTTTTTGTAACAGCCAAAGCAACGCGCGCTCCCAGCCTGCGGGCACACAAGCCGCCAACGAGCACGCGCTCCCGGGCTCTCACCCGCGCTCCCGGGCGCGCTCCCAGGCTCTCGGGCACGCTCCCGCCCACTTCGTCCTTCTGCCACGAAAAACCAAAACCGAGCCAACACAAAACACGGCATCGCAACAGTCGGAGCAAGGGCAGCGCTCCTGTGCGGGAGAGGGGACGCTTGCGGGGGTAGCGGCAGAAGCAGCTTGGATTTGGGGAAGCTGGAGATGTAACACATAAGGTTGTGGAGCCTGTGAGGAGCTACAGGTCTTCCTACAGCCCTAGAGGGAGCCGAAAGCTGAGCTCCTCTCAGGATGTGGCATTCAGGGAGCATTTTATAGTGTTAACATTTGTATAGGTATGAGTAACTCCTTGGACAGAAAGCACATGTATAAAAATACAGGATTACTATACTTCACATCTATTCCTTGCAGTGCAATGCATACTCTGTTGCAAATCCCCAAACCTGGCCTCAAAAGTAATTTTGAAAGGGCTTTTTAAAGTAATTCCTAGATCTGAAGGACTCCAGAAAACCCAGGGAGAACCTTCCTGATGTCAAAACCAGAAAGGAAGGAAAGATAAAAAGATAACTCCAAACCTGAAGTGCTAAATGGACTTTTCCAAGATTTTTGTTTTTTAGAGATTGGTTTCAAGCATATTCCACAGGTAACTTTTTGTTCAGAAGAGGCTCCTGCTCCCACTGCAAGCCAGTTCCACAGAAACAGAGCAAGCCACACTAGCTGATCAGGTCTCCACCTGCATCTCTGCCTGCTATAGGACCGCAGTCTCACCACATCCACCCTTTTCATTTTATATTTCTGCTTGTTTCCCCCTGAGATTTGAACTATTATAAGCAATTAAAAACATGCTTCAGCATCGAAATGTTATTTATCTTGTGCAACTACAGCGCCTACCAAGCAGGCAATCTTGCTGGGGACTCCCCTGTATCAAACAGGCAGTGAATAAACTAACACCGATCCTCACCCACCAGAAGCAGCATCATGGGGCTAGGAGCGAACCCTGCTGGGGCTTCCTTGACCTTTGCAGGTACAAAGCCTGCATGAGCATGGATTTGTCAGCTATGGGGAAGGGCAGGGCATCCAGCCAGCGCTGCTGTTCCCAACTTTATCAATGTGGGTTGGAGGTCCACCCTTTGAAGGTATTCTGATGAGAAAGCCAGTGGCTTAAGTATGATTATGTCATATCATCCAGACAATACATTATGCTCTTACACACCGATCACAAACAAGAACTGCTCATACATAACCTGTTCCTTGGAGAAAACAAAGGCCTGAGCTCGGTGTGGCGGCATTAGCATCTTTCTCTCCCTCTTTTTGCACTTTGTGAATCCCCCAGACACGTATCCAGTGACCCTCCCCATATCCTAGAAACTGCCTTCAGCCAGGTTACAAGTTTGTAACCGCTGTTACAGCAAGTATGGGCTGAAATACAAGCAGAACCATTACTTACATACAGCACTCTTCCTGGCATACTGAAGTCTACAATGCACTTTTCCCCCACACGGGACAAGGTCTTATTTATGGCCCATTTACATGCATAGTGTATATATGCATATATGTTTTTACTCCAATAGTCCAAACGACCTCAGCACGATGTCAGATGTTACATTTTCATCCAACCAACTGATGACCACCCAATGTTCTGAAATTCTTTACTTAATACAGAGAGCTTTCTGACACACACCCGTTCTGCACAGCTGATCAGCTAGGTCCATGCTAATCTAAACCAAGGGCAAGTTCCACATGCAAGAAACATTGTCCAAGTGGGAGAACCACCATGGGACAAGAACTTCTGTCCCATGTACTTGCTGGGTATTCTGTAATGCATCTGTCTTGTTTCAGCAAGACAACTGGAAGCAGTGCCACCATAGCAATGGCCTTGCCCTCTTGCTGCAGTAAGCCAGGCAGAAGATTTAGGCCCACATTCTGGGTGTCAAAAGTTATTTTTTTCAGAATAGGTTGCAACACAGGCCTTGCATAAAATAGTCAAGATTATTTTATCATGCAGCTTTATGGAAATCCTCCAAAGTATGTTTGTAAAGTACAGAGGAATGTACTTAGTACTTACAAATGTGTTAAAACTGAATGGCTCTTACTGCACTAGGCTGCACAGCATTGCCAGAAGTGGGAATGTTCAGTACAGCTACAACTCTAAGATACCAGTGCCAAACTCAAAGTAAGCATTTATGGAAAGGCCCTACCTTTCTAATGTACCTTCACTGAAAGAACTTGCAGACTTATGTCTTCCACGCGGGCTTCAGTTGAATATCCTTGCTGGCCTGTCAAGGAAGAAAACTTGTATTTTCAGATGAGTGACAAATGCAATTATATACATTCCAGCCAAGAATGGCTGTTAATATTTGTATGCACAAAGGGAAGCGTGATATGCTCCACATTCACAAAAGGATGTATCTGGAAATCAAGCTTCTCATTCAGCATTGCCGCTGAGTTCACCAGAACCAATTCCATGACACAGCCAGTGTTCAGTACTTTTCAAGACAAGCTGCTTTGTCAAAAAATGTATGTTTGTATTCACCTGGGTCATGATAAAGGAAAACAGTTCACAGCTAGCAGTTATTTTACCGTCACAGCAGTTTTCCACTGAAAAGCAGAGAGGAATATACATATTCTTCCTGTATTACAAAAAAAAATCTCTGAAGAAG